TGGCCCAAGTGGGGGTGAAGAGCAGGACCCAGAAGGGGCCTTTCAGGGTGCCTTTTGGAGCCAGTTGGTGCCCAACAGGGGCTCTGAAGGGCCCCCTTCAGGTGCTTGTTCTTCACCCCTTATTGGGGCAGGAGGAGGGGAAGACATGCGAAAGCGGCCGCGGGGGAGGAGGGATGGAGGAGGAGGAGGAGGAGGAGGAGGAGGAGGAGGAGGAGGAGGAGGAGGAGGCCGTAGCCATTGTGGCTCAAGCGGCATTACCCCTGCTTTCAGCGAGGGCTCTTCTTTCTTCTTCATACATCATGCCTCGTCGGGGCATTGCTGTCAGGCATGGCGCGGCTGTGGCCTGGGCTCCGTCGGTGGCAGAGGCCGCCGACCTGATGACGGCCATCACAGAGCGAGCTGCTAGAACTGCCAAAGTTCCTGCTGCCGCCGCCCCGCCATTTCTTTCTTGTCATCCTCACTTGGACATCGAGGCCCAGGCAGTTCTTGGCGCCGCAGCCGAGCTTGTGGCCGTTCTGGGAGGCAGCACGTTGGCAAAAGGTTTGGAAAAGGGGTTCGCCAAGCTGGAACTCGGATGCCTTCTCACCTTATTCGAGATTGCCGCCTCCTCGATGGTACCTCTGCGTTGCTTCGGCACCCAGGTGCAGCAGATGATGTACTGCGCCGCCTCAAGGATTGGGTTGCATGCAATCGTTCTGCAGTGCATCTTGCTCCCGCATCGGAGCACGAGTCGGACAACAGTGGTTTGGTTTCGCTTGTCACGGACAGCGACCGCTACTACTTGGCACCCAAGGAGAAGACCAATCATAACACCGTGTATATGGAGACTGAGGAGCCCCTGAAGATGGGAGGCCCGTTTAGTGAGTCCATGACATTCGACATTAACGGCGACCTGGAGGATGAGTCCCGCTCAGAATGTCCTGGGATCTTCTCGGAGACCTCGCGCAACTCCGCCGAGGACCCGTTCGACGCGGACGGGGAAGGGCACGGCCTTCACGAGGCACAAGCGCCCATGGGCGCCGGCAAGGGGAAGGCACAGGAGCTTGTCACCCCAATGTCTGCGCCTAGTTCTCTCCAGGACGATGACACATCCACCTCCGCCCGCAGTCAGCAGTCGGGGAAGAAGCCCGCCTTCAAGTACCAGATTGCTCATGATATAGTGAAGAGGAGTTTGCCCATAGAGTACAACCCCTTCAATGAGGAAGCGGTCGTGGTGGGCATGATCACCACCTACCTGGAGTCGAGCGACGACAGCCACAAGCGGAGCTTCTACGGCCTGGAGGAGCGCCTGTTCCAGGCGGTGAGGCGGCATCTCCGTCTGATCCAGGCTCCCGAGCTCCTGCCGCGAGGCTGAGCGACCACGCCGCTCTCCCCTCCTCCTCCCGAGCTCCTGCCGCGAGGCTGAGCGCCTCCTTTCCCCCTCCCCATGTAGCAGTGTTATGTGCAGGTTTCGCCGCAGCTTGCAGCGCTCTCGGATGGGGGTGGGGCAGGCAGGTTAGACGGGGGGGGGACTGGGGAGGACGGGCTGAGGGAGAATGCCGACCATTTTCGAGCAGAGGTGCGAGGGCAACCAGCCCTGTCCTGCCATCACCTCTGCTTCACTTGGGTTCTCTATTTCTCCCTTTCCTCACCCATCCTCCTCCCCTGCAGCAGCCTCCTGAGCATCCTCATGATAGAGTGCAAGACCAGGCTTGCCTTTCACTGCCTGCTGATTTCTCGTGGGGGGGGGGGGGGGGGGGGGGGGGGAGTGCAGATACGCGGGGGGGCGGGAGCGACAATGTCGGGTTCGGGGCCGAGGGATTTCCGCCCAGGGAGGCGGCCCAGGCAGGCTCGACCGACCACGAGGCGCCCAGGAAGGGGGTCCCTCGGCCTGTGGCTGGGAGAGGTGCCAGCCCGCGCTCGGGCAGGCCCATGGCGACGGAGCCGCGGGCAAGCCTTCCAGGGGATTTCATAAGCACCATTATGTTCCTTCCCTCTCTTCCTCCCTCCTCTCGGCCTTCCTTCTTCTCCATGGTGCTTCTATAGTTTTCCCATTCCAGATTTGTTGTCCTTTCCTGCTCCTAGAGTGGGCGTGGGACTCCTTAGTGCAACAGTGCAGGAGGAGGAGGAGGAGTGGAAAGTAGGAGGAGGAGGAGAGGAGGGGAGAGAGGAGGAGGAGGAGGAGGAGGAAGGAGGAGGAGGAGGAGGAGGGAGGAGGAGGAGGAGGAGGAGGAGGAGGAGGAGGAGGAGGAGGAGCTGGAGAGGAGGAGGATTGGAGGGTTTTGATGGGCCTTTGGAGACTTCTTGGGGGCCTCTTTGGCCGTTTTAGGGCGTTCCTGGCTCGTCTGACGCCGTCGGAAGCCGTCTCGGCGGCCTGTCTGGGTCGTCTTGGGGCCCTCTTGGGGCATATCAGGAGCTCTTAGGTGCTATCTTGGGCGTCTTTGAGGCCTTTTGGGCCGTTTTGGGGCCCTCTTGGGGCCGTATTGGGGGCCTTTTGGGCCGTCATGGGGCCATCTTGGAGGCTTGTTCGGCGATGTTTGGGGCCGTCTTGGAGGCCTCCTGGGGGGCCTCTTGGGCCGTCTTGCGCCATCTCGAGGCCATCTTAGGCCGTCTTGGGTGCATATTGGGCCGTCTTGGAGGCATCTTGGGGCTATCTTAGCAGTCTTGGAAGCCATTAGGGCCGTCTTGGAGGCCTCTTGAGCCCTCTTGGGGCCGTCTTGGGAGCCTCTTGGGCCGTCTTGAGCCGTCGGAATGCCGAAAAGAAGCACACGCCATCGGAGGTGAGGGGGTGAGATCGAAGTGGAAAAGGAGAGCCCCCCGACCGGGAAATCGATTTCGGTTTCGTGTTCGTGCGTGCCGTGCGTGCAGGCGAGGCGCAGCTGCGTGGGCGGGCGAGAGAAAGTCTCCTGTGGCTGAGGCGCGGCCGGACCAAATGTCTCCGTTCCGGGCGGCCGGGGGCCCGCGGTGTCCCGCCGGTGTCCCGCTGGTGTCCCGTGTGGCTGAGGCGCGGCCGGACCAAAATGTCTCCTTTCCGGGCGGCCGGGGGCCCGCGGTGTCCCGCCAGTGCCCCGTCGGTGTCCCGATTATGGTGATGATATTGATGATGATGATGGTGATGATGATGACGATGTTGATGTTTTGTTTAGATGATCGATCGTGAGATCGGTAGTGATTTCGATTGTGAGATCGAATGTTAGATCGCTTGTGAGATCGATTGTGAGATCGATTGTGATACCGAATCTGAGATCGGTAATGAGATCGATAGTGAGATCGGTTGTGAAACCGAATGGGATATCGGTTGTGAGATCGATTGTGATAACGATAGTGAAATCGATAGTGAGACCGAATGTGAGATCGATTGTGGAATCTATTGCGAGATCGATAGTCAGATCGATTGTGAGATCGATCGATTGAGTTGATCGTGATATCACTATCGGTAATGAGATCGGTAGTGACTTCGATAGTGTGATCGATGATGGGACCGAATGTGAGATCGATTGTGAGTTCGGTTGTGATATCGATAGTGAGATCGATAGTGATATCGATAATGAGATCGAAAGTGAGTTCGATAGAGAGATCGATAGTGAGGCCGAATGCGAGATCGATTGTGAGATCGATAGTCAGATCGAATGCGAGATCGATTGTGATATCGATAGTGAGATGGATAGTGAGACCGAATGCGAGATCGATAATGAGACCGATCGTGAGTTTGATAGTGAGATCGATAGTCAAATCGAATGCGAGATCGATTGTGATATCGATTGTGAGATCAATAGCGAGACCGAATGTGAGATCGGTTGTGGGATCGATTGTGAGATTTATTGTGAGATCGATATCCAGATCGATTGTGAGATCTGTCGATTGAGATCGAATGTGAGATCGGTAGTGGGTTCGATAGTGAGATCAATCGAGTGCGACGTTGGTCCCTCCCCCCCCTCACCTCCTTATCACCCGAAGGGTGGTCTATGCGGTAATATTTCAAAAACCAAATGAACATCGATAATTTTGGCCTCTTCGGGCCCTCCAGGAGGACCTCTTGGGGGCTTTGGGGCCGTCTTAGGCCGTCTGGAGGCCATCTCAGGCCGTCTTGGGTGCATCTTGGGCCGTCTTGGAGGCATCTTGGGGCCATCTTAGCCGTCTTGGAGGCCATCTTGGGCGTCTTGGAGGCCTCTGGGGCCGTCTTGGGGCCCTCTTGGGGTCCTTGGGGCTCTCTTGGGGCCCTCTAGGGAGCCCTGGAAGGCCTCTTGGGGCCATCTTGAAGGCCATCGATCCAAGGAGGAGATGGTGCAGCGTTCGGCCCCGAGGGCTGGTGGGATTTCGAGCGCCGTCGTGCCGTAGGTGGGGTGATGTCGTATCGTTGTTGGTTCACCCTGTCTCCCACCCTGAGATCTTGGCGACTCCACTTTTTCGACCTGGACGTTTTCGCCCAGTTTCGGGACCCGCTGGCCCTCACCGGTCGATCCGGCTCGAAAAGTGGCGCAGAAAGATGCTTCGATGTTTTTCGAGGCGTCGGATCTCGGGGCACGGCGGGGGGGAGGCCTCGTATGCGGAGCCTCCGGGGGAGCCTTCGTGGGAAGAAACGCACGCCGTGGAACCTCCGAGGTGAAACCCTTGCCAAAAGTTTCAAGTCGACGAGGGCCTCGAGCCGTCAAAGGTCCTTTGGCAGCTCGGGGCCCTCGTCGAACACTTTTCGGCCTGGACGAGCATCTAGGGGAACAAAAAGTAAGCTCTGAGGTCCCCGCGGACTTCTCGGATCGGCGCTGGACCCCCCTCCCTGGCGCGCGGAGCGCGCCAGGGGCGGCGCCAGAGGCGCCGCTGGGGGGGCCCAGCGCCGATCCGAAAAATCCGCGCGGACCTCCGAGTTTTTATGTTTATGGCACTTTTTGTTCCCCTAGATGCTCGTCCAGGCCGAAAAGTGTTCGACGAGGGCCCCGAGCTGCCAAAGGACCTTTGACGGCTCGAGGCCCTCGTCGAACATTTTCGGCCTGGACGGGCACCGACGATGAGAGCCGCCTGCGCAGGCGGCGCCTCCCTGGGGGGCGGCATCGCCATTGACTTCGCGGCGGCGTACCCGGAGGCGACCGCGCGCGGCCGCCGGCCGCGCGCGCGAGAGGGGCCGCGGGCCCTGACCTTCCAGAGAGGTATTTTTTAGCACTGGAGGCTTAAACATTTTAAAACAACATAAAAACAAACTCAGCGAAACAGCCTATAACCAAAACGTATAATAGCTTCGGGATAGGTTTTTACGCCGGGTGCTATGTTTTAGCCCCCCTGGAAGGTCAGGGGAGGCGCCTCCCCCGCGGCGCCGGCGGCGGCGGCGGTGCCAGGCCCTGTTGCGCGGGCAGCCTGGCCGCCTCGATGCGCTCTCGGTGCTCGAGGCGGGGCAGTCAAAAGCCCTACTAAGGACGCGCGACTTTTCTCAGGGTGCCCTCGCGTCCTCGCTCTTCCCTGCTCCCGCGTCCTCGAGGTGTTCGTCGTCCGCCGCCCCAAACATCCCAACTTCGGCTTCCAGGGGTCTTGCGTCCTGACCGCGCGCCCTTGTTAGGGTTTTTGACAGTGCCGCGGCCGTCACCTCCCAGGCTTGCGCCCGCCAGGCTTGGGCCGGGGGATCTGCCCATCCCTGAAAGCAGGATTGTTCTGGACCCTCATATCCCAACCCGCTTCGAGCGCTTTCCTACCTCAAGAGTCGATCTGCTTTGGCTGCGTGTTGTTCTGATCTGAGAGGGCCAGCCCCATCGACTGTAACCGCCTTCCAGTTCATGTTTTGACCCACTTCTTCCGACCAACGTGCACCGCGTCCAAAACGTCCGTGTCAACACGCTGCTTTGTGCCTGAACGTATTGGCCCACGTTTTGGCGAACGTATCGCGTATTCAGCCTACACGCCAGTCGTTTGAAATCTGTATGTTTAGATTTGTATTCCAATACTTTAGGCGCCTTCCTACTTCAAGGGTCGAGTGGTTTCCTTCTTCCCTCCTCTTCTCGGCGGCGAGCGAGGGGGGGAAGCGAGAAGGAGAATGCCTCCTCAGAAGGCGGTGGGAGGTCTCAGAACCCCTCGCCCTCTCCGAGAAGTCTTCTGCGTCCTCGGGGAAGGCTCCGAAGACTTCTCAGAAGGCCTGGGGACTTCCGCGCCTCCTGAGAAGGTCCGCCCCTTCTCACCTTCCCCCCGCGGTCTCGCCGCCGATCGTCAGGGGGCGGGCGGAGATCCAACCTACTCCCAACGCCTTCCTGCCTCATTCAGGAGGGGACAAAAACACACAGACACAATTAATCGTCGATTCCCCAGAAGGTATGGGAAGCTATGGGAAGTGGGGGAGAAGACAGACACCCAGAAAATACGGGGAAATATGGGGAATCTGGTCACTTGTGCCTACTTATTTGTGTGTCCCAGTTTCCCTTCACCCATGCTTCTGCCCACTTCTTCCCACCGACGGGCACGCGTTGAGTTCCGCATCCATGCGCTGCGTGCTGCGTGATGGGTCTCCAGGCAGCGGTGGCTGGCAAAGTTCGAGGTGAGGGTCCTCGGGGGCGGCCAGGCGGGGGTCGGACGGGGCTGGGACGAACTCTCTCGGCGTTTCGGAAGGCTCTCGGAGCGTCCCGGAACGCTCTGAGAAGGCCGCGGCGCCCGAGACGTCCTCCAGAGCCGCCGGATCTCGGAGATTCTCGATTCGTCCTCATCCGATGTTATCCTCGTCCTAGCGTCGTCTTAGAGGGGGGGGGGTCGACGAGGGGAGGGGGGTCAGCACGGCCAGGGCCATGGCCCCTCTCTTCTATCTAGCTCCGCACCGCCACGGCTGCACGCGGAGCCTGGTAGGAGGCCAGGGGTCGATGCTCAGCGTGTGTTGGCCCTCGGCGGCGACGGCGACGGCGACAGCGATGGCGAAGGCGGCGGCGGTGGCGAACAGCGGCCGCCTCTGGAAGCCCACAGGCACTCCTCCCTCGGGGCCCCAGAAATATTGCGAGCCAAGGCTCCAGGCTCTGTGAGATGCGGCGGGAGACAAGGAAGAACCGAGAATGTCTCGGCCCACGCATTGAGTTGAGAAAAGAACACCTGCACAAACGCCAGTTTTCGGAGCCCTGCGCGGACTTCTTGGATCGGCGCTGGGCCCCCTGGCGGCGCCTGTGCCCCCCCCCCCCCCCCACATGCAGCTGTTTCTTCCTGGGTGCGCCAACGTCCTGGGTTCTTCAGATCGGCGGCGAGCCCAGAGGGGGCAGTCGGAGGTGGCGCCCCTCCGCAGAAGGCTCGGAAGGCCTCCGGCCTTCTGAGATGTCTCCGAGGCCTTCTCCGGAGACGCAGACGGCTTCTCAGGAGCACCGATCGTTTCTGAGAAGCCCCGCGGCCCTCTGAGAACTCGATGCTCGTTTTGGGGGACCTTCCTGGGGCCCACCTCATGGATCTGTTCGACTCAGGTTCGACTCAGGTTCGACTCAGGTTCGACACCGATTCGACTCAGATTCGACTCAGCTTCGACTCAGCTTCGACTCAGGTTCGACGCAGCTTCGACGCACGAGTGGAGCGAGTGGCTCCAGGAAGGTCCCCAGAATGAGCATCTAATGAGAAGGCCTGCGCCCTCTCGCTTCTCCCCGGGCTCGCCTCCTCTCGGAGCCCTCGCCCGCGGAGCCCCGAGCTTCCCCCGCTGCGCCTCCCGGCTCCCACGCCGCCCGCAGCCGTCCATACCAGGGGCGACGCGACGCGCGGCCCGCGAGGGAGGCTGCCCCGGAGGCGCCTCCGCCCTCCCCCCCATCCACTCCTCCTCTTCCTCCTCCTCCTCCTCCTCCTCCGCCTCCTCCTCCTCCTCCTCATTCTCCTTATCCTCCTCATCCTCCTCATCCTCCTCCCCCTCCTCCTCCGTTCCTTTTCCTCATAAGCAACTTCTCCCCGTCGCACCCCGAGGCCAGTTTTTCTGGCAGTCCGAGCGTTTCGCCTGAGACTCCCTCACCACTAATGACCCTGAAGCCTAGAAGTTGACAACAGCTTCACAGATGGGGGGCGGGTCGTTTTCAAAATGTAGCTCTCGCTTTAGCGCCGCGCACATTCGCTTCAAAGATTGAGAGACACTTTCACCGATTGAGGGCGGTTTCTTTTCAACTTGTGGCTCTCGCCGTAGCGTCGCGCACATTCCTTTGCACAAGTTGCAAGAGTTTCCCGGAGTCCCATGATATGCGTACTAGAAATACTGTTTGGGAAGGGTTCAGGATTGTGAGGGTGCATCAGTTAAGTTGATTCGCAGTGTTTAAGTTTCAGGAATGGTGTTCTGTCGCGATTCAAGACCGTCAAGACGCATCAGTCTGGTTGATCCGTGGCGTTGGAATCCCGACAATAATGTTTAGGCATGCTTCAGGGTCTTCAAGCGGTTGTCTTCCAACGAAGCAGTTCCCCGTGGAAGTGAGCCATTGTAGGGACCTATGAAAAGGGAGTTTTAAGGGAGGGTTGATTCCCATCGTTGATGACTCTTGGGTTTTCACTGGTCCTCCTCCTCCTCCTCCTCCTCCTCCTCCTCCTCCTCCTCCCCCTCCCGAAAATCCTCCTCCTCCTCCACCTCCACCTCCTCCTCCTCCTCCTTGTCCTTCTCCTTGTCCTCCGTCTCCTCCTCCTTCTCCTCCTCCTCCTCCTCTCCCTCGACGGTTCGTCAACATGAATGTTACCTTCCTCCCTCCCCTGGGCCTTTGCCTGCGTGGCACCGGAGTTCAAGATCTGCCTCCTCCCTTAACTGGGGGTGCAAGCAGAACTGTGCGGCAGCGACTCGAGCCCAAAAGCGTGCCCAGAGCCCCCTCTGTTCCCAGTTCAGCAGTCTTTGCGGTAGTACGATGACCGCAAGCGCCGCGAGGCAGACCCCGCCTCTCCCGCTCCCTCCCGCTCCCGCCCCGCTCCCGCTCTCGCTCCGCTCCGCGGCAGCCACGAGCCGCCCAAAGCAATACGAGTAATAATTTGAATCATCACCGTATTCAAAATCAGAATAATACGACTACTAGCTTAATATTGATAACAACAGTAATGGAACTACGATCAGGACTACTACGACTACTACTACTACTACTACTACTACTACTACTACTACTACTACTACTACTACTACTACTACTACTACTACTACTACTACTACTACTACTACTACTACTACTACTACTACTACTACTACTACTACTACTACTACTACTACTACTACTACTACTACTACTACTACTACTACTACTACTACTACTACTACTACTACTACTACTACTACTACTACTACTACTACTACTACTACTACTAGTAGTACTACTACTACTACTACTACTACTACGACCAGTATTTCTACTACGAACACACACTACACGAGGATTTAACAGCTCGAACGGCAGCAATCTTACGATGCATACGAGCCGGATACAGTAGTAGTCGTCGTCGTAGTAGTACTAGTAGCAGTATTCATATTAGTAGTAGTAGCAGTAGTAGTAGTAGTAGTAGTAGTGGTAGTAGTAGTAGTAGTAGTCGTCGTCGTCGTAGTAGTAGTAGTAGTAGTAGTGGTGGTAGTTTCAGTAGTAGCAGTAGTAGTAGTCGTAGTAGTAGTTGTAGTAGTAGTAGTAGTCGTAGTAGTAGTAGTAGTAGTAGTAGTAGTAGTAGTAGTAGTAGTAGAAGTAGCGGTATAAGTGGTTGCAGTAGTAGTAGTAGTAGTAGTAGTAGTCGTAGTAGTCGTAGTAGTAGTAGTAGTAGTAGTAATAGTAGTAGTAGTAGTAGTAGTAGTAGTAGTAGTGGTGGTAGCAGTAGTAGTAGTAGTGGTGGTTGCAGTTGCAGCAGCAGTAGTAGTAGTACGACAAGTCGTAGTAGTAGTAGTAGTCGTAGTATTGGTCGTTTTAGTCGCAGTAGTCGTAAACACTAGAGAAGTAGAAGCAGGAGTCGCAGCAGTAGCAACAGTAGTACTAGTAGTAGCAGCAGCAGTAGTAGTAGTAGTAGTAGTAGTAGTAGTAATTGGTTTCATAGTCTGTAGTAGTAGTAGTAGTAGTAGTAGTAGCAGCAGCAGTAGTCATCTCCGTAGTCGTCGTCGTAGTAGGAGTGGTAGTAGTAGCAGTAGTAGCAGAAGGAGTTGCATCAATA